TAATGACTCTTTTCCGGGTGGGTTTACCCTTACTATCTTCTTTCGGCATTGAATCTCAGCATCGTTGGCGCTAAGCCAATCCATTCCCAAAACGATGTCGAAACCGTTCAACTCTATGGGCAACAACTCTTCATGGAATTCGTTTCTGTTTATGTCAATGACGATGTTCTTAATACGATTACTAACAGGTATGAACTTGCCACTGGCAACTTCCACAATTAGGGCATCATCAAGTTTTTCTAAAGGCAATGCTAATTTTCCTCCAAATCTATGCGATACAAAGGAATAGTTTGCTCCCGAATCAAATAGTATATTTGCAGGTAAACCATTTACAAGAAAGGTACCTGAAGCGACGTTTGCTGCCTCCTTTGCAGCCTCGAGCGTCATCTGGAAGGCTCTAGCCTTCGGCTTTGGTGGAATGTTGGGTCTTCCTGCTTCCTTCTTCTTCGGGCAGTCCCTCGAAATGTGCCCCTCCTCGTTGCACTCATAACAGACCTTCTTAGTGACTGCACGAATCGTTGGCATAGTGCCTGGTTTTCCACATTTGAAACAACTGACTCCTCCGTCACATTTCCCCTGGTGCTTCTTCTTACACTTGTCGCACCATTTGGATTCACCTCCTCCAGACTTCTGCGTACCAGACCTCGAGAACTTGCTTTTCTTGCTGAATTTCGACGACCCATCAAATTTCCTTTTCTCTCCCACCTCCGCTCTCTCCAGACCCTTATCTCGTATCTGGGTCTCCACATTCTTAGCAGCCCAGATGGCAGCTTTAAGAGTGGTTGTTTGCTTGACCATTGGACAGAAGTCCGCTGGTAATCCGAGGGCAAACTTGTTAACCTTGGAGAGTTCAGTTGGGACGAGGTGAGGAACAAGCTTCATTTTCTCAGTAAAGCTTGCAGCGTATTCAGTAACGCTCATTCTTCCCTTCTTCAGATTCTGGAATTCGTTGTTGATCTCCAGAAGATCCTGCTTAGAGCAGTATTGCATTTTTAACTGCACCAGAAAATCCTCCCACGACATCTTGCTCGCTTCTCCTTTGGGCATTGAATCAGCTAGTAGCTTCCACCAGCTTAGTACTCCAGATTTCATCAGAGGAACCGCGAGAGCGGTCTTCTGCCTGTTGCTACACTCGCAACTCTCAAACATTGTTTCCATCTCGAAGATCCAGTTCATGATTTCCACCGGCGTCGGGCTTCCAGATAGACACGGTGGTTTAGATGCCATGAAATCCTTGTATTTGCATCCACGTCCGTCATTTCCTCCATCCGGGTGGTTTTGCCTAACTATCGGTGGGTTGGCTTGACCAATAGTCCCACTGTAGTTTCCTCCTTCAGACGGCCCATCATTCAGCTCGGGCTCTACGATTGGTATGGTAGCTTCCTCGCGATTTTGTTGGAGCAAACGCCTGGTTTCCTCCATTTGACGATCCAACATCATCTGGATCATCGCTTGCACTCCGGCCATCGTGATTGGCTCAGGAACATCTGCTACAACAGGTATTTGCTGAATCACTGGGGGTTGATTCCTATTCCCATTTGCGTTCACGTTTCCGCTATGGGTCCTTGCCATCTTCATCCTTATCACTCCAAAACGTTTACATGCTAGTTCTAATATCGTAGTCGCACGTTTAGAATCCTAAACACATAAGGTTTCCAGATCCGGTCGGCAACAGACCAAAGATCCGAACAATTAATAGCATGTCAGGCACAAAACATTTAGCACATAAAAGCATTTTAAGCACAATTCCTAAAATAAGCTAGTGCTCACACCTCACAATCATCGCTTAGCATCCTAAGTTTAAGTCTAGAAATCCTACAAATTCCTAGTTCGCTTAAACTAATGCTCTGATACCAACTGTGACATCCCCATTTTCACGGCCAGAAAATATGGATTTTTGTTTATGCTTGTTTGAAAATCAGAGTAACATTTTAAATAAAAGTGTTGCGGAATTTGTCCCAAAACAAAATATGATAAAGATTTATCAAAAGCATTTCCAAAGAAATGTATTTCATTAAAAGACTCGGGATGTCATTTCGATACAGATCAAAAGCATAAACAGTACAATATAAGCCTTACTACATTATTCATATCTACAGGCCTATATCCCGTAATCCCTCATCCAAAACATCACATCTATGCTCGAGCGCCACTACCTGTAATACATGAAACTGAGTGGGTCAGGCTTCGGAGCCTGGTGAGCACATAGGGTTTTCAACCCACAATAATAAGTTTATTATTTCATTAATCAATAATAACCCGATTACCACCCGTTCCCGTTATCCTCACTTTACGTCCCTAAACACCTATCATAAGGGACCTACCCTAAGGATCATCATCGGGATGGACACTACTGCTAAGGGGGTTCCTCAGCAATAAATGTCATAAAGACAACCATGAGGGGGATGGAGTACACCGGTGAACACATCGTTCACAAACACCTATAGGTTGCGAGCCTGCTAGCGTTCCACCGGACTGTCTAGAAGAGTCCGTGGTCGTCATCCATACTCCGCTAGATGACAGAATCAACAACAACAACATCGAGGCCTCTCATCATTTTATCACACATCACCTATTACATCTACCCATGTTTTACCCCAACATTTTCGTAGATATACAATACATATATAGTTTAAATCATTGAAAACATGTATAAAAACGTTCATCCAGCATAGATAGCAAGTATTCAGATAATATGCACACATAGCACGTAATTTATATAAAATACTTCATATCTATGTGTAAGCTGAAAGTAACTATGCACTCACTTGATTAGGTGGTGACTCGGTACTCGAACAGCACTTCGTTATCTCAAAACAATTTTTCCTTGATCAAAACCTAGTATTAATACCACTAGAGTTTAGTTTTAACGTTAACCGTGACTAATTAATAGTCTGGCTATTATTTTTATTATATAAGCGTTAAATAACACTCAATATAACTTATAATAATAGCCCAAATAATTATTTTAAGGACCTAATAACATTACTATATATTTAAAGTTATATTAAAATTTGCGTAGGCGTAGCTCACTTACAGCGAATTTTAAGAGAAAACCGGGCTTTGCTCGGAGCAGCGTTTCCGAACCGAAAGACCCTTTTTCTCGGGACTCCGGGAGCCTCGGGGCTTCCTTAGGGTGCTAGGGGTTTTATCTAGGGTTTAGGAGTGGTTTGGAGCCTTAGAGAGAGAAAGATTTTAGAGAGAGAATGACAAAATGTGTGAAAAACCCGGAGACCCTCGCAGGTATTTATAGGGGCGAAGTCTCGGATTTACGCTGCGCGTAGCTTCGGATAAGCTTGCCAGCCGAAGCCAGCTGTCTCACACTCGTCGGAAGGATAAGGCCGAAGGTACGCGGGGCGTACCGACTTCGGACGCGGGGCATATGCGAGGGCGACGTGTCATCATCCGAAGCGAGCACCGTGGTCAGCAAGCGACGGTTAGGATTGAGCCACGTCATCGATCGAGCAACAGATTTCGTAAATTGCATTCTCGACTTCTAAAAATCATAACTTTCGCATACGAGCTCCGTTTTCGACGTTCTTTATATCCACGCGTAGGCGGGAATGTACTCTACAACTTTCATTTAGACTTCGTCGGCTAATTTTGACTTTATTTTAAAAGTTATTTTTTTAACAGGCCGGGACAGGATTGGTCCGTTAAAAATTCATAACTTCTTCATCCGACGTCCGTTTTCGTCTGTCTTTTTATCGTTGTGCTACTATTAACGATATCTTCGATTCTCGTTTAGGTTGTGTCGGCTAAAAACAGCTCGATCTAATAATCGAACTTCGGTTGTACACTGCTAAGCCGAAACTTCGAAAAATCATAACTTCCTCATACGAAGTTAGATTTGGGCGTTCTTTTTATGGACGCTCTCGGTTTAACGTTTTCTACGACTTTCGTTTAGATTGCTAAGGCTAAAACTCGCTCTATCGTAAATTCACTATTTACGCTTCCCCGTATCGTGCCGGTTTTATCACGAAACTTCGACGGGTCATAACTTCTTCGTTATAACTCGGATTTCGGCGTTCTTTATATCTATGGAATCCTTGTTTCGACCACTACGACTTTATGTAAAGATATCGGGCTTATCTCATACTTTAATTTTGACGCTTATTTTTATTCTTTATTAATTATACATTTATAATTAAATAATAAGCACATAAATACACATAATTCACATAATACTCAAATATTTCATCTTTATTACTTCAAAAAGAGTTACAATAGTTGACCTAGACTATTACATTGTCAAAAATGCTTAGCCCTGAAACCCGGGCGTTACAACATACTTCAACACTTGGTTTGGTTTCTTTAGTATCTTTCTCTTGCTCAATTTCTGAACAAGACTGTACAATTTTGTTGTCACTTTCCTCAGGCTTTTGCTCACTTTTGTTCTCTTCCTCATTATCACACTTCTCGCTTGCCTATTCGAGAAAAGATTTTCTGCGTACTAGAAGAATGAAAGAAAAGAAATGATGTTTTATACGAATAGGCTCAAAGTTTGTCAAAACAATCAGTGTGATGTTTCATTGTTCTTTCTTTAAACAAATTGTTAATGGAAGTTGTTCTTCTTTATAACGTTGTTTTTTCTAGGCATTTATCATTCTGTGGAAAATCATGTTAGAGTGGTATGGCATGCGCTTCGGGCTCAACAATGGTGAAGGAGAAGAATATTTGACATTAAAACAGCACGAGGTTCATAAGATGAGTCTTATGGTTTAAGCATAGAGTTAGTAAGAAAAAGCAACAACATTTCCACATTCGTACATATTCTACAACTTAATATAAACTATGTCCAGAATTTGTGTATGTTATCTTGTTTAGGGCCTTGACAGGGTATAATGTTTGATTCTTAGTTTTTCATACACATGCGATAAGAAATTATGTATCAGACAACAACATTTCCATATGTCTTCATAATTATGGCATTTCAAGTTCTAGTTGGATTGATCTACAAGTAAAAGCTTTTTGGAATACTTAGGGGTTATTTATAATAACTAATGAACATGAATTACCTCTTGAGCATCACTTGGTTTGTCCTCTGCTTCCTTGAGGATCTCTTTGCACGTTGCATCTGTAACATCATCCTCACCACCTTGTCCTTTTCCTGAAATATAAACCTCTTGTTCCTTTTCTTCATATGTTATTTCATTCTCATTTAAAGCGATATCGGAACTGTCATAAAATTGTAACCCTTCTTCAGATTCAACCTTCTCTAAGATAGTCTCTTCACTAGTTCTGTATCTTCCCCTATGCTTTCTTTAATTTTACCAACTTTAGGTTCATTAACTTCACTGTTGCATGTGTTCTTTTTCTTTTAAGTCTCCTTCATAAGTTGCATCATGTGAGCTTGTAACAGTATCCTCACCTTGGTCTTTTTCGAAAGTGTTGCCCTCTTGTTTCCATTCTAGATCTTCATATTTGCTTAAAATCGGTAGTGTTTTCTCGTTGATCTCTACATTAGAACTATCAGAATGTTTGACCTCTTCTTCATATTCAACTTTCTCCGAACTGGTCTCTTCATGTACAATTGTGTTGACTTTTTCCTCGCTTGCCTATTTAGGAAGTTTTTTTTTACAAGAATTATGAAAAAAAGTTAAATGATGATTGATATGAATAAGCTCAAAGTTTGTAAAATTAAACCTTTTGGAACAGTTAGAGATTACTTAAAATGAACATAAATTACCTCTTGAGCATCACTTGTTTTGTCCTCTGCTTCTTCCCTTTAGTAATTGAACTAAGATCCTGCTCCTCAAACTCAATATTAGCCACGGGGTAGTTTGTTGACCAATTATTGTTTCTTTTATATCCTCACGGGATGCATTTTGTGAGCTTGTAACATCATCTCCACTACATTGGACTTCTTCTGACATTTTGAGCTCTTGTTCCTTTTCTTGATTCTCCTCTTTGCTCACTATTTCATTCTCAGTAAATGTTTTACTGAAACCTTCAAATTCTTTTTCTACTTATTCAGGTTCATCCTTCAATATAGCCTCTTCATCTTCATTTTTTTCATTTTCTTTTGTTTCGACACTAGATGAAGTATTTTGTTCTATTTTGTCCTTTGCTTCATTCTCATACTGCTGGCTTGCCTATAGAAATAAGTTTTTATTAGTGAGTTCGAAAGTAAAAGAACTCGATAAGTCAATGCATAGTCAAAGTTTGTGAAACAATCTTTGTGACAACTTCAAAATGTTTGTGAGTAGTAGTTGTTATAAACTGCTTTATAAAACAGTATTTTCTAAGCATTTATCATTTTCTGAATTTTAGAATAGTGTAGAGATTACTTAGAATGAATTTGAACTACCTCTTGAGCATCACTTGATTTGTCCTCTTGTTCCTTTTCTTCATCTTCAACTTTGCTTCCTATTTCATTCTCTTTCAGGGCAATATTGGAATTGTCCGAAAGTTTTAACCCTTCTTCATATCCAGCCTTCTCTGAAATAGTGTCTTCGCTTACTTCTTTCATCATGGGGCTTCAGGCTTGATCTCTGTTAAAGAGCTATCAGAATGTTTTACATCTTCTTTATATTCAACTTTTTGTAAACCAGTTTCTTCACTCTGAATTGCTTCATCATTTTTTCTTTCATGTTCTGCACTTACTACATGAGGCTCTGTTTGTGATGTGATGCAATCATCAGTTATGAGTTCTGTTTTCTCCTCTGTTTCAACACGTGGTTTGATTTCTTCAGTATCTTCCTTTTGCTCAGTTTCTGAACAAGACTGTACAAATTTATCGACACTTTCCTCAGCCTCTTGTTCTCTTTCTTCCTTTTCTCCATTCTCACACTTCTCACTTGCCTATTCGGGAAAAAACTATTTTCAGTATACAAGAATAATGAAAGAAAATAAATGAGTATATATGTGAATCGTATTTGATTATCATTTTAGATTCAAGGAGTAGAGTATTTGATTATAAGTTTGCATGAGAATCATAGTAAGGTCTATAGGATTAAGCATACAACAAGTAAAAATTCACAGCTTCGTAGATCTCTACATGTTCAATGTCATAAAATCAAGTCGTATCTCTTCTTGGAGATGCTTTTATTATGCCTAGATTTTCCAACTATTATGGAGTTCAACAACTTATACACTTACTAATTTCTCATACACATTATGATAGTACAATTAAAACTTTTTGGAATAGTTAGAGATTACTTAGATTGGAGATGAAATACCTCTTGAGGATCAATTCTTATGTCCTCAACTTCTTCTTCCTTAGGGATATCTTTAGGCGCTGCATTCAAAATCTGCCCTAAGCCACTGTGGTAGCATGTTGAAAGGTCGTTTCTTCAACATCATCTTCTATATGTTCTCTAGTTTTAACAGCATTACCTTCATTGTGGTAGCTTTTTTCTTGTAAGCCTCCTTCAACGCTTGGTTTGATTTCTTCAGTATCTTCCTCTTGCTTAATTTCTGAACAAGACTCTACAGTTTTGGTGGCACTTTCCTCAGTTTTTTCACCTTTTTTCTCTCTTTGGTCCTATTCAAGAAAAAAAATTCAGTAAACGGGAATAATGAAAGAAAAGAAATGATGAAATTATATGAATAGGCTTACTCATTGTTTGCATAAATTGGGAAAAAAAAGTGAAACATTGTTGCATAATAATAAGTATTTATGGAATGAAACATGGTTGCATAAATGCACAATTAACCCTAGTTAGAGATTTACTTAGGTATAACATCGATTACTAACCTCTTGAGAATCAACCGACTTATCCTCTGTTTCTTCTTTAGAGGCAACAATCTGGACACTTTGATCATGACATGGTTTCTCTTCTGTGAAGGCTTCTTCAACCTTTGTGTTGTATAATACGACAGATCCAAATTGACTTAAATAATATTAGCTCAATGCGGAATGGGATCAAAAATTATCAAAGCGTAATAATCACAACGTAATACGAATAAAATAAATAGAATAGAGACACAGAAATTTACGTGGAAACCCAAATCGGGAAAAAAACCACGGGCGGAGGAAGCCGAGAAACAATTCACTATAATTTGCAGTGTTTACAGGGATTATGAAAGAGATTACAAATAGAGTGGGAGAGCTAAAATACACGGTGGTGTATAAGTATATATATTTAATGCTTTTCTATATATACTTCGATTTTTGTTCGTGTTCTACGCTATTGTTCTGCTGCAACACAGATATTTATAGGGAGAGTAGCCGTAAAGTTTCTTCCAATTAACACCAAATTGCCGTAATGTTTGACAACTTTCTTACCGTCCAAATTTGCCGTCCATTGACAATAATAAACAATTGTTTAGCAAAACAAATTATTTGAACTTGGCTATAGGAAGACTTTTAGTGAACATATCAGCGGGATTATAATCTGTATGAATCTTGTCCACAACACAATCACCTTTTTCAATGATATCCCGCACAAAATGATAACGAATATCAATATGCTTTGTTCGGTCATGAAACATTTGATCTTTACTCAAAAAGATAGCACTCTGGTTGTCACAGAAAACTGTGGTCACCTTTATTCTATCATCGAGTTCTCCGAATAACCCCTTCAACCAGATATCTTCCTTAACTGCTTCTGTAATCGCCATGTACTCTGCCTCGGTAGAAGACAGGGCAACTGTAGACTGTAACTGGGCTTTCCAACTAACAGCACAACCATTTAGTGTAAACACATACCCTGTAATTGATCTTCGTTTATCCAAATCTTTTCCATAATCTGAATCAACATATCCGAACACCCCAGTGTTAGATTTGCCAAAACGTAAACACATGGAAGACGTACCTCGTAAATAACGAAAAATCCATTGTACTGCTTTCTAGTGTTCTTTCCCCGGGTTCGCCATGTATCTACTAACCATGCTAACAGCATAAGCCAAATCAGGGCGTGTGCAGATCATAGCATACATTAAAGATCCAACAGCACTAGAGTATGGAACACGTGCCATGTAAGCCATATCAGTCTCATTAGTAGGACTCAAAGCGGATGATAGCTTGAAATGAGCTGCAAAAGGTGTGTTGACAGACTTTGCTTCGTGCATATTGAAGCGTCTTAGGACTTTCTCAATATAACTTTTCTGAGAAAGATGCAAGATCCTAGACTTCCTGTCACGAATAATTTCCATACCTAAAATCTTTTTGGCAGCTCCTAAGTCCTTCATTTCAAATTCAGCTTTCAACTGGTCTTTTAACTTCTGAATCTCCTTCATATCTTTTGCTGCAATCAACATGTCATCCACGTACAAGAGTAAGTAGATCTTTGAACCATTGTCACCTTTCTTGAAATAAACGCAGCTATCATAGGTGCACCTGCTGAATTTGTGACTGGTCATGAAAGAATCGAACCTCTTGTACCATTGTCTAGGAGACTGCTTGAGGCCATAAAGAGATTTGTTCAACTTGCATACGTAGTTCTCCTTTCCAGGAACTACAAAACCTTCAGGTTGTTGCATAAAAATCTCTTCCTCAAGCTCACCATTTAGGAAAGCTGTAGTGACATCAAGTTGTTCTAACTCAAAATCGTTAGAAGCAACCAACCCCAACAATACACGAATGGAAGTATGTTTGACAACTGGGGAATAAATGTCAGTGTAATCAATACCAGGAATCTGACTGTATCCTTTAGCTACTAACCGAGCTTTGTATCTTGGTTTATCATTTGGGTTGACAGGTTCCTTGAGCTTATAGACCCACTTGCATTTAACTGGTCTCTTCTTTTTCGGAATAGGAACTAAATTCCAAGTACTGTTTCGCTGCAAGGATTCCATCTCATTTTGCATAGCGAGCATCCAATCATTTGAGTCTTCAGATTTGATAGCCTCGTCATAATTCGTAGGCTCCGTTGCGTACTTAATATTATCAGCAACAATAAAAGCATAGGCAACCAAATCAGATTCAGCATACCTCTTCGGAGGAATAATCTGTCTTCTCGGTCTATCTCTTGCAATGCTTGGAGTAGTAGCTTGTGGTTGTGAAGGTGTTGAATCTTCACCAACAACATGCTCATCCGACGAAGAAGAATCTTGATGCTGATTTGTACTCTGATTAGTGGTAGGTGAAGTAGGAAGCTCCACCTCCATTTGAGCATACTCTTTATTTGCTTCGGATGATACATCTGATGCATCTGTTCTTTTAGAAGAGTCAGCAACTGGTTGAATCATAGCAGACTCATCAAAAGTAACATCTCTTGAGATGATAATTTTCTTTAAATCAAAGCTCCATAACTTGTAACCCTTTACACCTTGATTGTACCCAAGAAAAACGCATTTGATTGCTCTTGGTTCTAGCTTCCCATTGTCAACTCGTGCATACGCTGGACATCCGAATGGTTTTAAATCTGAATAATTGGCAGGTTTACCGGACCATAACTCAAACGGAGTTTTCTTCTCGATTGCTCGTGACGGTGATCGGTTGATAACATAGCAAGCAGTCGAAGCAGCCTCCGCCCAAAAAGACTTTGGCAATTTGGAATTAGAAAGCATACACCGGACCTTCTCCATAATGGTGCGATTCATCCTTTCAGCTACACCATTTTGTTGAGGTGAATGGACTACTGTGCGATGTCGAGTAATGCCTTCCTTTTGACAATAGACATTAAACTCTTCTGAGCAAAACTCAAGTCCATTATCCGTACGAAGATACTTTACCACCAGACCTGATTGCTTTTCAACCTGAACTTTCCAATTTCTGAAGGTATAGAAAACGTCTCCTTTATGTTTTAAGAAGAAAGACCACACCTTCCTGGAGAAATCATCAATAATAGTGAGCATATAAATAGCTCCACCTTTTGAAGCAACTCGAGCAGGTCCCCACAAATCCGAGTGAACATAATCAAGTGGTCCTTTCGTTGTATGGATGCCACTTGCAAACCTCACTCGTTTTGCCTTGCCATATACACAGTCTTCACAGAAATCCAAATCAACAATCTTTTGTTGACCAAGTAAACCTCTTCGACTCAATTCTGACATGCCTTGAAAACTCATATGGCCGAGTCGAAGGTGCCAAAGACGGGACTGATCTGGATCAGAAAGAGACTTTGAAACAACAGCAGCATCACTCGAAATTGTTTGCCCGTCAAGAAAGTAAAGATCTGAGGTTTTTCGTTTGGCTCTCAGTTTGTCGGAGCCGTCTTTGAATACCCTGAGAACTCCACCTTTACCAGCAAACTCGTATCCCTTTTTGTCAAAGGAACTGAGAGATAACAAGTTTCTTCTGAGGTCAGGAACATATCTAACATCCCCCATGGTTCGAATAACTCCGTCAAACATACAGATCCTGACTGAACCATGTCCAAGAACTGGACATGTAGTATTGTTACCCATCAACACATAGCCCTGGTTAACCTTTTCAAATGTGTAAAACCAACTTTTGTTGTGACACATATGAAAAGTACAACCAGAGTCGAGTATCCAATCACCAGTGGAATCCAGTTTATCTGAATAAACTGTCAAAAGTTCTCCAATACCTTCCACCTCAGCTACATCGGCTTCACCCGAAGTGCTAGCTTGTTTACCATTTGCTGCCGTCTTCTCTTTTTCTTTATTCTTCAACTTGAAGCATTCTTCAAGCACATGTCCCTTCTTGTGACAATAGTTGCAAAACTTTCGTTTGCCTTTTGATTTGGATCTGGTTCTGTTGGAAGATTGAGAAGTTCTACTTCTCTCTGTTGTTCTTCCTCTGGCATTCAAACCTTCGGCTTTAGCATCACTTGAACCACCACCAGTAATATGCTTCATCTTCTCTTTGGAATCCAAAGCTGTATAGACTTCATCTAAAACTAAAGTGTCACGGCTATAGATAATAGTATCACGAAAATGGCTATAGGATTCTGGCAACGACGACAGTAAGAATAAAGCCAAGTCTTCATCTTCATACTGAACATCCATATTCTCTAAGTTATTTACTAACTCTTTAAATGTGGATATATGTTCAGTTAAAGAGCCTCCTTCAATCATCTTGAGATTGAACAACCGTTGCTTCAAATGCAACTTGTTTGGTAAGCTCTTGGTCATCAACAGTTGCTCCAACTTTAGCCATAAAGAAGCCGCTGACGTTTCTTTTAGAACATCTTGCAAAACATCGTTTGACAAGTGCAAACGAATCTGGGATAAAGCCTTCAGATCTTTCATCTCCTTTTCTTCTTCGGTCCATGTATCGGGCATCTTATTGAAACCCAAAAGCGCCTTGTGTAAATCCATCTGAATGAGAATGTCTCTCATCTTTACTTGCCACAACGGAAATCGTGTGTTACGATCCAGTAGTGGAATATCGTATTCTACCGAAGACATGATTAATTACTTGATAAAATGATCCCAATGAGCTAATATTACAACCCGGATGCTCTGATACCAATTGTTGTGAAATACGAATGATCCAAATTGACTTAAATAATATTAGCTCAATGCGGAATGGGATCAAAAATTATCAAAGCGTAATAATCACAACGTAATACGAATAAAATAAATAGAATAGAGACACAGGAATTTACGTGGAAACCCAAATCGGGAAAAAAACCACGGGCGGAGGAAGCCGAGAAACAATTCACTATAATTTGCAGTGTTTACAGGGATTATGAAAGAGATTACAAATAGAGTGGGAGAGCTAAAATACACGGTGGTGTATAAGTATATATATTTAATGCTTTTCTATATATACTTCGATTTTGGTTCGTGTTCTACGCTATTGTTCTGCTGCAACACAGATATTTATAGGGAGAGTAGCCGTGAAGTTTCTTCCAATTTAACACCAAATTGCCGTAATGTTTGACAACTTTCTTACCGTCCAAATTTGCCGTCCATTGACAATAATAAACAATTGTTTAGCAAAACAATTATTTGGCCGACTGTTGCGTAGTCAAAGAATTCAATTCAAATGGAGCCGCCATTTTTGACATATCAATATATATGCCGTCCATCAATATTCAATTACCATATATATTACTATTCATAGTCAAACTATGAATAGTAAATGATAAGTTGCTGAAATAACCCCTGAACTATTTGCCACTTGCTAATTTTGGAGGCAACTTTTCCATACTTTGTAGACTTTCTTTCTTCCTGATCTTACTGTCGTGTCACTGACAATGGGTACTGAGAGTGCTTGGAAAAAAGTTTCACTCTCAGTTTCAACTTCTTCTGTATTTACAGTTTCTGCCACTTCAAGTTGCTCCACTTTGTTACCAGAAAATTCTGCAACTTTTTCTTCCAAAATTTCTCTTCCCTTTCATCTGTCTGCAGGAAAATCAAGCATTCTTTCAAGGAAAGAAAATATAGAGGTATGCCTAATGGACTAAATCCGATGGAATTGGAATTCTAGACTCCATCCCATTCAGTTCCATCATCCTTTAAATTTCATGTTTGATGCATTTTTCCATCTTTTAGAAGAGGGTTTTTCTTTTTTATAACAAAAGACCAAAATACCATTATATTATATATTTTTACAATAAACAAAAAAGATTTAAAATTTACTTAATTTTTATGATTGAATTACATTTCATTTCCAGCCAACCAAAAACATCTATTCCATTCCTTCCAAAACATTCTCAAACCAATATTGTTGTTTTCGAAAACTTAGTTCTAATTTCTATGCAACTGATTCATACTCATGCAGACTTTTCAGCTATGATCAGACTCCACAAGCACAAGATAAATCAAATCCACAAATTATACCTCATAATACTAAAACTATTAAAACTAAACCAAATATACTGCTATTGATTCACAAATCATATAAAGTAAAAAAATAAAAATATAAAGTTATGATCACTAACCTTTGATGATAAAAAAATCTGGAATATCAATTTCGGTTGCTGCCATTGATCATATACAGTCTGATGAAGAACAGAAATTAGGATTTAATGAAATTGAACGAATACAAAGAAGAATCGTAAGAAAGATGAAATTGATTGAAAATGAAACACAATCAAGAGATTGCTCCAGGGAAACCCCTCTCTGACAGCCACAAGGCTTGAGCCGATACAAGAGTATCACTATCACCAAAATATCGGAATGCCTACAAATGAAATCATTCTCTCTCTCTCTCTCTCTCTCTCTCTCTCTCTCTCCTCTCTCACACACACACACACAGATGTTAGCCATTTTCCAGATATACCCTTATTCAAGGTTGTAGAACTCGTTACTCGCTACCTGTTCGGCCGACTACCGAGTAGCGAGTACTCGGGAGTACTCAGGAGTACTCGGATTTCCGGATTTGGTAATTCATGTAGAAATATTTTTAGGAATATTATATATGTTAAAATGATAAGTTAAAATCATAAATTGATTGAAATATATAACAAATTAGATACATGTGAATACACAAAAACTAAAAAAACACATAATGGTCTCACTTCGTGAAATATTACTGAAAATTTTAAGATATATATGTTGTAATAATCACATGTGTGTGTGTTAAATAATAAATAATTAAGTATATTATACATATTAATCACCGAGTTGATCGAGTTTTACAACACTGCTCAGTTCAGTAAGAGGTCCATCGGGAAGTACTCGGGATTTTGTAACTCGCCTCGGTAAGGGGCCGAGTAGCGAGTACTCGGAGGAGTAATCGGCCAACTCGGCGAGTTTTACAACACTGTCCTTATTACTTCTTCCAGAATAATCGTGTAGCAGCTTTGATTCATTTTCCCTTTTAACTACCATATTAGGATCTGTATCATTACTCACGCCTTCAAAACAAGTCTTGTCCTCAAAACTTGCTTCTTGAAATTGACTCATAATATTCAACGCAACCTCTCTTGTAGCTTCTCCATCCGGTCAGCCCTTCCACTGGATTAACCACTTGTGTACTTGGTCCAATCGATTCTCAACCGCACAAGTAACCAAGAAAACCATAGGAATAACCCAATAAACAACCCTAATTTTCAAATCAGGAGGTAAAAAGAAACTTAAACTAGAATGCATGTTGGACTTCTTCAAAAAATCATCCCATTCTTGCCCTTCTTTCATCATTTCTTGGAACCGTACCCCACCTTGGAGTGTGCCCAACCATTGTTGCAACGATGCTTGAACCTGCTGGCCCGTGATTAACCTTTGAAAATGAACCGCTATACCGTTATACATAAATTTCATCCATGCCTTGTCCCATTTGTATGTCATCTCACTTAAAGAAAGCAACAATTCCATTCCTGAAATCATGTCTATATGCCCTATGTCAAAAACAAGAGCATTTACCCTAAAAACAAGATGTCTATATCTCATTATCATATTATTGATCCCCTGAAAGTCCATATCTGGAAACCCGGGTGCCAAAACTAATGTCTTCATCACCACTGAACAACTACCCATTTGAATGTTTGAATTCATGTATTGCTCAATAATCAACACCACAGGTCTCTTACCGATTGTGATGTTAACACCACTAAACACAAAGCCAGGTACCTCCAAAGCAATTACCCTCTGTGGGTGAACTAAAATGTGGGTAGCCTTACTAACTACAAGAATTACCACAATGACCATTGTAATATCACAATTGATTCCTTTTAATTTCAAGGTTTTACCTTTTGATTGAGAATTAGCCACAACTCCAAAGAACTCCAAAATTTGACACGATCCTACAGAAGCCTTCTTTGACAATTGATTAATTAGTACCTGATTAGCATCCCACGAATAGTGATTGCAGTATTCGTTGCATTTATGACATTTGTGAGACAAGCCGACCTGATTAGCATCCCACGAATAGTGATTGCAGTATTCGTTGCATTTATGACATTTGTGAGACAAGCCGACTTCAGGACCACCATGAAAACTTAGGACCTTCTTCTTTCGTTCCTACCATTCCATGCGACTCGATGATCTAACTCTCCGATTCTGCTGAAGCACGTAAGCCATTGCCAGCGTTAGGGACGGTGATGCCAGCTGATTAGGATAAACGTGGTTATTTTCAGTCCAAAAGCTTATATCAATGGCTTTATTAACATGTGGGCCTAATTTTTCTTTGATCATAAACATCAAGTCCATTGTCTGATTAAAATCGTATTGGCCAAGATATTTAATTGCAGCCCACTTGTGAAGCCCATTATCGTGTTGCCCTAGAGAACCTCCTTCCCGTCCATCATTCAACGGAGTTGTTATCTCCGTGAAGCCCTCTTTGGACTCCGTTAGTGGTTTGATCGAGAATATCACTGGACAATGCTCTTTCTTTGCTCCCGCCATTGACGATTCATCCGTTCCCACATTCCGCCCTTCTGAATTCAGATTAGATAACGTCAATATGTGTATCTCAGAATAATTTATCAGTGATATTTGTTTGATCGAATCCAATTCCTCATCGTTAATCCTCTTCAACGCCCATGGTAAGCTCTCCACCACACCCGAAGAATTTGAAGTGGAATTGCCACCGGATAAACACACAAAATCCTCACTCATAGTGATTCCAGAAGATGAACTCTGGTAATTTAGCTTGATCTCCTTATTATCACACCCCCAAACCAAGGATGGCGGAAACGTCCGGGGGTGGAGGACTTCATGTATAGTATCACAACAACGAGTATAATAGTGCTCAAAGTAAATACAACCATCATAAATATAATTGAAAAAGTTACACCAAAGTATATGTTTACATGTTTCAAAATCAATTACATTATGATGACAAAATAAACTGTTTGACGATTCAACGTCCCATCCTCAAAGTGCTGATGTTTTCCTGTTTCACTGAGTTCCTGAGAATACAAGTGGTTTTGAAAAAGTGTCAACAATTAAGTTGATGAGTTCATAAGAGTTTTGTTTGAGGAAGAAACCGTTTTCCTTGTAAAAGCGATAGAGTTTGATTTCCAGAAAATCCAATATTTTCTTAGTTAAGTGTGAAAAGTATGTTCCTATGTTATGCGATAATGAACTCTAGAAAGACCCGTAGATTTCTTCTATAATCGTCCAGCGTATATAAGTTATATAAGATTTAAGTTAAATAAACCGTTGAATATAATGGGTCTGCCATAGGTCTACAACCAAACAAGGAACAGGAGATGAGGCGGGCCCACCAATTCTAGGTCGATTGTGACTAGATTCTTATATAACTCTAGCATATACACTTAGCAATTATAGCTGAAGCCTAACAATTCTAGACGTAATGTAGTTTTAATAGAGATATATTTCCAAAGAAAATCCGATATTTTCCTTAAAGAGTGAATCGTAAGTTTCTATATTAATAAATAGTGCATCCTAGAATTCCCTATAGTTTCCTTCTATAATCCCTAAGTGTATATAAGTTATATAAAATTTAAGTTAAATAAACCGTTGAATATAATGGGTCTGCCCTAGGTCCACAACCAAACAAGGAACAGGAGATGAGGCGGGCCCACCAATTCTAAGTCGATCATGACTAAATTCTATATAACTCTAGCATATACACTTAGTAATTATGGCTGAAAACTAACAATGCTAGATAGAATGTAGTCTTAAAAACCAAAGACCGAGACTATGCTTATCATAATTCATCAAGTAGTGGTAGTGGACATAAACTATACATATCATAATTCACCAAATAGTGGTAGTGATAGTGATCATGAATTATGCATATTATAGTTTATCAAATAGTGGTAGTGGTAGTGAACATAAACTATACATATCATAATTCACCAAATAGTGGTGGTGATAGTGATCATGAATCATGCATATTATAGTTTATCAAATAGTGGTAGTGGTAGTGAACCTAAACTATACCTATTATAGTTCTAGCATGCTTGTTTGTGATGTATAAGGACCCTTTTCTATGTAAGTCGAATGTATAACAAAATATAACTATGTGTTATCATGCCTTATTTTTGTACTAATAGTAATAATGGAGGATTCTTACAATTCAGTGAGTATTTTCTGTTACGTAATTATACCACAACAAGAAACACAGGTAAAATATGAAATCTTCAAATATTAACACTTTGCTCAACAAGTTACAAAGTGTGATGAAAGTTATAAGCTGTTATCTAGATTTTTACCTTTCTACTATGTTTTAGAAAAATCCTAGAAAAATCATACGAAGTTAAAAACTGATTCCGTAAATTCTGAGAGTTCACAAAATGTGTCTAGTTTATTCATAATTTTTATTATGATTTTTAGAAGTCTTTAACTTGTGTTAAAATGTTCATATTCACAGACTGGTCCGAATTTGTTTTTGAAATGATAGGCAGTTTTGTAAAAATCACCATAAATCGTAGAAAAATCGTATGGAGATGTACAAATAGTCATTTTAAAGGTATGAACCTGAACTATTTGCACCTAATACAGTTTTGAAAAATAAAATGTTTAAGTTGACCAAAACAGTCCGTGAATGGAGTTGAACTTTTCTGATAAAGGCTGTTAAATGAGTTTAGTTGTGTTCTTGGTGTTTTAACTTGTATTCCCCCCCCCCCCCCCCTTAAAACTTAAGAAAACATGAAAATATAGGGGTATGAACTCACCTTGAGTGATTTCAGTAGATGGATGATGGAGAAAAGAAGTGTTCAACTCAAGAACACTTGGGAGATGCTTGAAGATTTGAAGATCTAACAACAAATATGACGATATTTGTGTAAGCAATCTATGATTTGGATGAAGGATAGTAGAATATCTAAGTGTAGGAGGAAGATACTTACCAAATTTGGAGGAAAAACCCAAGATCAGCCTTTGAATCTCGAATTTTAGAGAGAGGAAGTGAGAGAGAAATGGGTTTGATCCTTCTTGAGAAAGAGTGAATATTGAGGGAAGTGAAGTGAAGCTTTTCCAGCCCTTTGATCTGATTATGGGCTGGTGAAATAGTGTGAAAGGACAATTAATTGACTAAGCATGGAGGAATAGTGACTGAGGGTTGTACTATGGAAGTATGGGGAGGTTGCTTGTGTCCTTGTCCAAATGATAAGTCAACACTCCAGCTAAATATCTCACCAAATAGATTTTATTCTTAGGCAATGATTTTCCCCAAAATATAGTTAAAATATGAATATTTGGGGTTTATTATGTTAAAATACGAGTTTGGGTGAAAATCTCGCGTTAAAATCTCGAAAAACGGGCTTAAAACGAAGTTTGGGTCAAAAACCGACAATCTGGACCGAACATGCGAGGTTCGGCTCTAAGGGAGTGAGAACCGAGAGTGGAGAAGGAAGGAACCAAGAGTAGCAGAGAGGACCGAAGGTGCGAGGGTTCGGTCGTGGCTCGCATCTCGGAACCGAAGCTCAAGTCCTCGGACCGAAGGTCAGGTCCTCGGACCGAAGGTGTAGTCCTCTCGGACCGAAAGTGAGAAGAGAAGAGCAGAAGGTCAGGCTCGGTTCGGAATGATCAGGGGACCGAAATAGACAGAGCGCTCAGTCCATTTCGGTTGAGAGGGTTTCGGTTCTCAGGAGGTTCGCCTCCTAAGAGGTTCGGCTCCTAAGAGGGGTTTCGGCTCTTAAGAGGGGTTTCGACTCTTTAAGGCTGTTTTTCGCGTAGACTTCCGTTTTCGAGCGTTTTTCGACTAAATTAAGGGCTAGGATGCCCCGAGTGATTATAAGAAGTTGAGAGAGATTTTGAGAGAGATTTGGGAGAGATTTGGCATACTTGGAGAGATTTGATATACAGAGAGAGATTTGGGAGAGATTTCACATTCTTGGAGAGATTTCTCATACGGAGAGAGATTTGGGAGAGATTTCACATTCTTGGACAGATTTGGGAGAGATTTCACATTCTTGGAGAGATTTCTCATACAGAGAGAGATTTGGGAGAGATTTCACATACTTAGAGAGATTTGGGAGAGATTTCACATTCTTGGAGATATTTCTCATACAGAGAGAGATTTGGGAGATATTTCACATACTTGGAGAGATTTGGGAGAGATTTCACATTCTTGGAGAGATTTGGGAGAGATTTCACATTCTTGGAGCGATTTCTCCTACTTAGAGAGTTTTTGGGAGAGTTAGAGTGAAAGATATTGGGAGAGACTTCTTTTGTGACCTTTTTCAGTGTTTGGCTTCGCAACGCAAGGTTTGTACATCCCGTTAAGTCCCGTTATGATTGTTATATGCCCCTGAGGGTTAAGGAATAATGTTTTATCGAGTAGTTTCATCACTTGCCCTGATTAAGGTTTAGAATTTCCGAACACGTGAAAACTCTAAGTGATACTTTGTATTAAGATTGCGAGTTATTCAATAAGAAACATAATGGAAACCCTAATGTACAAGGGTTAGATGAGTTGACCGGTTTGACTCGTTGACTTTAGTTGACTTTGACTTGGCCAAAAATTGACGGTTGTCACACTTATCCACCGAAGGTAAACCCAGCGATGCTACCGGAACGACATGGGAAGTAGGATGAGACTGGAAACCGCTAACCATGCCAGACGTATCCCTAGAAGCATCATCAACCACCGACTCTGGTAATTTTCCAGTCGGATAGGAAACAATGCTAATATGTGAGAAAAACTCTAGATCTTGTTGCTTTATCCAATCAAGCATTACTTCACGAAACGCAGCCTCTTCTGCCCGTTCTGAGGACATAGCGGTCCTGATTTCCTCAATGTCTTCATGAATATTTGCTATTTGTTTATCATGATGATCCAGACGCTGAGAGACAGAGACAAATCTAGTTTCCACCACTAGTTGCACCATCGTTACTTAACTTCGGCAGGTCACGGCAGGTCGGACCAATGATGAAGAACAGAAATTAGGATTTAATGAAATTGAACGAATACAAAGAAGAATCGTAAGAAAGATGAAATACATTGAAAATGAAACTAAATCAAGAGATTGCTCCAGGGAAACCCCTCTCTCACAGCCTATTGTATCCCGTACAGCGAAAGGTATAACTTTATTATTTGTATACTTTTTTTATAATTATATTTTAACATTTTCTATATTTATGTTGATAGATATTTTGGGACTGCAAATCTCTACTGTGGCGTCAGAGGCGGCGTTTAGTACAAGCGGACAGATATTGGATCAATATCGAACAAATTTGTCTGCAAATATAGTAGAGGCTTTGGTTTGCACCCAAGATTGGGTAAGGAAATCAAGAAAGCCAATTGTGGACAACATTGATGAAATTTTGAAAGACGATGAGGTCGCGAAAGCTTTAGAAGAGGCGATAAACAATGGAGGTGGAAAGGGAAAACAACCGATCAATATTCTCGAATAGTTAATTCGTGTTTGAAAAATGTTATTTTGGATATGGTTAAAAACTTAAGATTCATATTGTAGTTTGGGTGTGGAATGTTTAATGTTTAACTTATATACTTATATATAGATCTTTTGGGTGTTTTGGGTGTTTAATGTTTAGTGTTTAATATGTTGCTTCATAACTATATCTTAAGATTTTGGTGTTTGGATTTTACATTTTATATATCAAGAATAGTTAATCCGTGTTATCCATGTTTATATTCTTAGTACACAAATTCTAACTTTTTTTGCACCTTTGAAACAATTATA